ATTTCGCTAGATATTGGACTTTTTCTAAAAATCGTAACAACTAGCCCCGGTCTCCCCTATTATAAATGAATATCGTTTGAAGAAATATTGAGGTGTGGATCAACCATATGAATAAACAATACATCCGTGGTATTTGAGATAAACTATGTATGTTTGGTAAAGGGCGAGACATCTATATGGGAGTGCTGTGAAATAGTGATACAATTCTTTTATCACTACAAATAGATGCCTACAGATCAAGAAAGTTCACTGGATGTTTTTTAAATAGGAGACATGCAGTCAGGGATATTTAAGTGATAGCATTGCATATCCTGTAGTGATATGATTAAGGAGTTTGGTGGTAGAAAAAAAGGAAACTAGAGCTCTTAAAGTCGGATGTTGCTGCTAACAAAAATGTGCAAGTTTAGAGGTCGAGTGCCCTAAATCTTGGCATGCTTGGAAATTCCAGTTACTAAGCTTGAGAAGATGTGCCAAAGTCTCAAAACTGATCAGCCTAGAATCATAGTGCAATGTATGAACTAATTAAGCAAAGGTGTTCCAATTATGGTTTTGGTTCTTTCGAGAATGATACAAATGCAAACATCCTGTCTCTTTACCATATAAGCTGAGGTGAAAATAGCATCAAGGAAGTCACCCAGCAGATATCCAAAGAGTTGACAAAAATAAGACAGTCCTGACCGATACCCTTAAGAAGACTACAGTGGAAAATTGGCACTATCCAACATTGTTTAATTTCATATGGCCCTCTTATGCTAGCTCTAGTAATATTTATCTGATAAGACAAGACTAAAAGTTTTGATTGACTTGTTTATTATAATATAGTTATTGCTGTATATTTGAGTAGAACTGTCAAGAAGTAACTTAGTAAAGTGGACATGTAACGTATTTAATTGTGTACAATAAAAGTGCATGTTTTGTGATTAAAAAAACTGGTTGATTCTTTGTTCATTACATAGACTTCCTTGAGTTGGTGACTGCATCCTGGTGCCCTATTTTATAATTGTAATGTGCTTTGAGATTGTAGTTTTGGCACTTTAAGAATATATTCTGTTCTAATTTTAAAGGAGCAAAACCTGCTATGTAAATATCTTAACATACTACATTCTTCAGCCTGCTGGTGGTGTGTGTTTAGTCTTTTTAGTTTTCTTTCTTTTATCATTTTACTTAAAAATAGCTTTCCAATAGGTCTTTCAATTGGCGATCAGTTTTTGTTGTGTGTTAGAACTTTCTTCTCCAGTAAATAGTGTTTTATATTACTCTTATTTTGTCGTCAATGTTTTGTCTTTTTTTTATTTCACGTTAGCGATGCGTGTTGATGACTAGCTGTCTTCCCTCTATCCTTTCACTGCTAAATTAGGGACAGATAGCTCTCGTATATCTTTGCGCGAAATTCATAAACTTATTTCGCCAGCAAAAAATTACTAACTCTGTCCTTCTGCATATTAGATGAACAAACCCCCTTTTTTGTGCGGGTTTGATCTTAAAATTACTACATCTTATAGAATTACAAGTCATACAAAAGGCCTCGTGTGGTATTCCACAATTTAAGATTACCTACGTTGAAGATAATGTCTATTTACTATGCATTCAATGAAGGTACACCCCAACTTATACTAGCTAATACAAGTCTCTTTTACTACCCTTCAAAATGAATATGGCCATTACAGTAAGGCATCATATACAAATTGGGTTACACAAGTATAAGCTTTACGGAACAATCATTGTGGTGTATAACTTTTTTTCTAAGCTGAAGGTTAAGGCAAGTTTACAACCTTTATACATCATACGAAGGATCCCAATTCGCTGTAGGAAGAATATTAGCATGAAAGTTTAGAAAAATTACAAGAATATAACTTAACCATAGATATA